AAATCCCAGAAATGACTGTATCCCAAATTAACAAGTGAATTGCTTCTCTGGACAGAATACGTGGAATGTAGCCTTTGAGTCACCTCTTTAAAAGCCCCCAGTTACCCCCATGGGCAGAATCACAGCCTCTGTGACAAAAGTCCCCTGTGTTTCTCCTTGGCTAGCAAAGCATTAAAACTTCTTTTTCCTCTTTCTAAACAAACAAGCATAATGTCTTTCAGCTCCAGGATATCTGTAAGCAAAGACAACCCCATTTAAAATGGCACCCTTGTGCAGTACACAGCTTGAATAATGTGCCCAGCAGCTATTTATAAGAGGAAACCTGGAAATATGAGTTAGTCTCTCCAGTGCTTATCACTGGAACGGGTCAACCAATATTTTTTTAATGAGTGGCACCTGGCACCTAGGTTGAGTTTAACTTCTATTCTTTCATTTCCATCCCCATTCTCCTTCCCATTTTTTCTTTTTCATTATAAAATCTCTTTTAAATGATAAGACATAGAATTTGGAGCCTCAATCTCTCCTAATCTAACTGGAATCATGATTGAAAGATAAAAATTGTTTGGAGCAAGAAGTATTTTATGCCTCCCAACAAAATGACTATCTAAAGCCCAAAAGGAAGAGTAACTTAAAAATATGAAGATTGAGTAGATGTAATAAACCTATACCAGGACCCCTATACAAGTAGCAAGAGTGCATCTACTAGGTATCTAAGAAGTGAAGGATTGAATGTGAGACAATCACAGTTCATTAGAAGAAAGTAAAGAGATAATTAAATGTCTATACAGAATCAATGAAACACATCAAAAACTTATTAAATACAAGTAAAGCTCAGCACTGGGCATTTATCCTGGTGGGAGAGATAAGCAATATATGGATTAAATCTATGCTAGATTGCTTATCAGAGTTGTGGATGTAACAGGGCTTTACTTGTTGCTTCGATTATATCCCTTGTTGCTTTGAAACTTAATGTTTTTTTTTTTCTTTTTCCCAACCTTCTCCTCTCTGATTCTTTTCCCTGATCTTCTCCTTCCTGATCTCTCCTCCCTAATCTCATTTTCTCTGAATCACCTCCTTAAAAACTTCCTCTTCCTGCTGATGGGCAGAATCACAGCCTTTGGGGCATGAGTCCTCTGTGTTTCTCCTTTGCTAGCAAAGCAATAAATCTTCTTTTTCCTTTTTCTCAAAGCCATGTCTTCATTATTGGATTGGCATCAGGGACAAGGACCAAGCTTTCAGCAACATGGAGAGAAGCTAATGAGATATTACTACCTGTGTGAATCAGCTGATCTATGGAGGGGGCTCCACCAACCTCTGTCCTTCCTCCCAAACACTGTGTCCTTCCCCAGACAGTCTAGTCTAAAGGCAGGAGAATCCCTCAAAGTAGAAATAGTGCCTGTAAACAGGGAATATGCTACGAGAGGAAAAAAGGAGAAAGAAATAATGGATTAGGAGAGGGTGGAATTTTCATTAATTGATTGACTAAATGTGAAACTAATGCTAAAGTGAACAAGTGTCCCCAAACAATCATCCTATGGGAACTTGTACTCTATTGAAAGAGCACATTGGGAGATGACAAAGGGATGGCAGGCTGGCGCCAGGAGGGCCATGCCATGACATTTTCACTATCCTCCAGGCCAAAGCCAAGAGTTGCCCCTTTTATGTTGCCTGCTACTTATCAGCCTAATAGATTGGATTATCATTCAGTTAAATTGCCACAGTCCTCTCCCCTTCTGGGCAAGAATATGTGTTCCTACCCCACTTACATGGGGCCTGGGCGGGGCCCTTCCTTTGACCAATGGAAGGTAGGCAGATGAGACACCAAAGCTGGTTTCAGCTGAGGATTCCATAGCTAGGTTGAGATTCTGCCAGGACTTTTGAACCATGTGCTTCTCCATAAGCTTAGTGTTCTCTCAGTAGCTCCGAGTCCCAGAAGAAGAGGAGACAGTAAGTACACCTAAATCAAACCAGGGCCTGGAGCTGAGCCCAGACAACACATAACCAGAGGTGATTCACAGCCAACCCCGCCTAACCAGCAAGAAGGAAAGATTTATTACCACAAGTCACTGACATCAGTGGTTGGTTTGTTTCACAGCATTATTGCAACTAAAAGCTACTCAAAACAATCTGAAGAAATTAATGAGACTCCTCCCCAACCTCTCTCCCCCCTTGTATCTGGGATACTCATCTAAATTTTATGATGGATAATGAAAACACTTGTACTTAGTAGTAAAATACCAGAATGAATTGAAAGACAAGAAAACAAAATTTGATGCTTTGATGGAGAACATGGTAATAAATAAGCCCTAGATTTAGAGAAGCGTCATGTTCAAGAGCAAGCTCCACCAAACTATGAGGGTGGGAAGGAATCTGAGCTGCTCACTTACATCTTTAGCTTGAAGAGTCATTGGAAAGTTCAAACAGGATATTAAATGGAAAAATGCTTTGGTATTTATTCACCCAAGAAGTATTGATTGCGTCAGATGGGATACACAGATGTGAATGATACAGATGTTGTCTCTGCCCTCATGAGGCTTACGGTCTTCAGGCAGGTATTCATTGAGCGGCTTTTGTGTGCCAGGCATGGGAGTAAACCATGAGCAACTTCAGCTACTGCTCTTGCTGTGCAGGTACTTAAGAGTATAGAAGAGAAAAGGCAAATACAAAATAGACAAGCCACCCAAATGTAAAACGATGAGAAAAGGCACTGGAAAGGACAGCAGTGCCTTCTACCATTACAGGGATTTCATTTTAACAGAGAAATCACTTGAACATCATCCCATCCCAGAAGACATTAGCAAGAGATGCGATTAAGGGCACAGAGCGGATGGGAAACTTTCCAGCAGGAAAACAAATACAAAGGGAGGGAGCAGGGTCTATTTTACCAATGGGAAGGGCTTGTGTTCCCCACAAGGCACGCTTCAGAGGGGAGGCTTTCGGAGGTAATGAGGTCATGAGGGTGGGGTCTCAGGAAGGAATTAATGGCCTTATAGGAAGAGACAAGACCCCCTGCCACGTGAGAAAACCAGGACAAATTTTCTTACAAGAATTCAACTGTGCTGGCACCTTGATCTTGAACTTCCTAGAATTGTGGGAAATCCATGTCTGTTGTTCAAGCTGCCAGATACAGCCACCTGAGCTGACTGAGAAAGAAAGACAGAAATCCAACAACAGTGAACTGAAAAGGGAGGGAAGCACAGAGAAGGATGAGGCTGCGGGGTGTAGGGACCCTGACCTGTGGGCCATTGGAAGGAGTCTCCCACTACCTCAGCAGCAGAGGGACTCCACAGCAGATGGACATGGTGGTGATGGGTGGTCAAATAATAGGCCTTTGGTAAAGATTAGAAGGCTGCGTTCATTGCAAGATGTGACTAGGATATTCTGAGGCAAGAGTGAGAGAAAAGAAAGAAAAGTCTGGAGGTATTCAAATAAGAGGCAGTAATATTCTGAGCTAGGGTAGTGGTGATGGTGGAGAGTGTGAGGCATGAGATGGAAGGATTTTTATGACCGTTTGAACATGGAGAATATGAAAGACATAAACAACCAACATGACAGGATTGGTGGCTTGCAAGCCTGGGTGCAGGCTGGTGCTCAGCACCAGACAGGATTCTTCACTGTTATTTCTAAGTACTAGACTTCTTATCCATTGGGATATTGAGGTAAGAATTCCACATCTTTTTCTCTGGCCTCTTTCAAGATTTCTCTTTATTATGTGAAAATGCTTCTGCCCACTAGACACACCCATCACTGTTCTCATACACACGGAAGACTCTGGGAGACACATGGCAACAGAGCTACAATAACTATCGTCTGGTTTGGGCTCCTCTTATTCTGACTCATTTCTCTTAGGGCCACAATCTCAGATAGTTGCTCATTAAACAAGATTAACATACAGAACTGCTGTAATCTTTTGAAATGAAGGAAGTGGATCATCATATGTGTCTGAGAAAATTAACCCCAGGGCCAAAGGGAAAATTGTTTCCAGATTCTTCTGCATCACTTCTAGTTGGATTCTTTAAAATAAGTGGTTTATGTAATTCTTCTGAAAACTGTATGTAACTATCTTTACTACCTTTATATACCAAGTTTAGAAATAATAAAACTAACTACTAGAAAAGCCTTGACTAGTTTGTACTGAGAAGATTGGAAAATTCACCCTAGTGAGAAGTTAGATATACCTAAGACCCATCATTCAAAATGTGAAATATTTTTTAAAAGAGACAGAAACAGAAAGATGTTATTTTAAGATGAGAAGAAAAGACCAAAAAAAGAAAACTATCATTCCCTTCTGAAAGCCTCAAAGCTTAATCAGTTATGTTATTAATTAATTAAATTGTTTACAGAATAATAGTGACAGCCATCCTTTCTTAAGTGGTTTTTATTTACCAGGAACTATGTGAATACAATCTAGCTGAAGCTCACTGGATCCTTCTGGTAGGTTTGATCAACATTTTACAACTTCTTTGTTTATTTTTATGTGTCGAATTTACTCGGTTAAAGGATGCCCTGATGACTGGTAAAAAGTTTTTTTTTTTAATGTGTAATTTTTTAAAGTATTTCCAAATGAGATTAGTGACTGAGTAAAGAAAAATAAGAAGAACCACCTTTGCCAATGAAGGCAAGGTCAATCAATCTATTGAGGGCCCTCATAGAACACAAGGTAGAGGAAGGGCAAATTCTCTCATCTTCAACTGGGACATCTGTCTGCTCCTCACTTTGAACACTGGAATTCCTGGTTTGGGGGCTTTGGGGCTTTGGGACTTTGAACAAGCACATCTCCAGTTCTGAGTCCTTTGGATGTGGACTGGAAGTTTCCCCATCAGCTGTCCTGGTCCTCAGGCCGTCAGACTCAGAGTGAATTGTAGCAGTGGCTCTCTTGGTTTTCCAGGATGCAGAAAGCAGATCACCGGACTTCCATAATAAATCTGTGTGTGTGTGTGTGTGTGTGTGCGCACGCGCACACGCACGTGTTGGGGAGACACTGAACCAGTAGTGCCGCAGTCTGGCTGGGCACAATCAGGAGCCACTTGTCAAAAGAAACTAACTTTATTTTTAGAACCACACACGCCAAACAAAACAGCCTCTCAGGAAAAACCCTCAGAGCCTCAACAGCCACCACCGGCTTTCCACAAGCCTCTCTCTCCCACACAAGCTTCTCTCCCCCTCCCACAATCCTCCTGCTCTTGAGGCCGATTGGCTGGGTCATGTGGGCGGAGCCAAAAAAGTCCCCCAATGAGCAGCTCCGTGGTCTGAAAGGGCAGGGAAACAGCCCAATGAGCATCACCGCAGAGGAGCCAATCAGCTAGATGTTGCTGGGGCCGCTGTGAGCCAATCATCAGCAGGCAGCTGGAAGTTTGCTGGCAGCTGGAAGTTTGCTGGGGCCCCTTCGGCTGTGGCTCTCAACATCTCCCCCTCTCTGTTTAAACAACAAGCACGTGGCTTAGGGACCGTGCCTGCCTTAGGTTGTCCAATAGTACATATGGTCCTTAGGTTGGTACCATTGCAATTGGATCTTACCCGTCACTGACTACCGGTCCAGTATACAGCCACACCTGTGGAGAGGTCTTTGTACCAGCGGGGGGGGGGGTGAGGTTCTTTGCCTCACCTCTGTTGGCCCCCAAATTTTAGCTGGACGATCATGACAAGCAGAAGGGAGGAAGATACACCAAGCCAATTGACGGCTCCTTTTGGAAAAATTGTACCACCAATGACATCATCAGCAAAAATACCCCAACACTACCACAAGTCGCTGCACCAACAGATAGTTCACAATGCATACAGGTGAGCTCACAATGTGTCCAAGCAAGTTCTGCAAGCAGTTCAGTGATGGCTATTGTAGAAGCTGTAGATTGGTTTTATCTTTGACTTCACCAGCACTGGGATGAAGATAGGAATTCTGGCACATTGTGGCTCCTCCCACAATCCTCCTGCTCTTGAGGCCAATTGGCTGGGTCACGTGGGCGGAGCCAAAAAAGTCCCCCAATGAGCAGCTCCGTGGTCTGAAAGGGCAGGGAAACAGCCCAATGAGCATCACCGCAGAGGAGCCAATCAGCTAGATGTTGCTGGGGCCGCTGTGAGCCAATCATCAGCCGGCAGCTGGAAGTTTCCTGGCATACATGCATGCCGGGAAAACTCTGATTGACCAATGTCAAATGGGGGCTCCTTAGCAAGTGTGGGTAACTTACCTGAGGTCTCAGAGACTGCAAGTCCTAAGCACCTGCCACCATCCCATGCTGTCTCGCCATAAGGAGCCCACCCCAAGGTCTCACATGGAACTTGTTCTTCGTACAGCTGACTCTGTTGGGTCGTCGTTCAGAGAGCTCTGAACCCAAAACTTCATAAAGCCATCCTTCAAAAGAAGTAATGTTGGAGAAGGAAGTGTTTTTGTTTCATTAAAAAGAAACATCAAAATGTCTTTACATTTTGCACCAGAGTTAGCTGAGAAAACACATCAAAATCCTTGAAACTTAAGACTGAGATAGAATGGAGAAAAGTTGCTTTAGGCAAACTGTTGTCTCTTACAATAAATAGGTCCCGAGGAAATGAGCGAAGAATTAGATGGCCAAGTAAAAGGGTATTAGAAAAAGGCTATTTTTATTGTTTCATAGTATGACACACAACTTTTTACTAAACCTTAGAGTCCCTAGATTTTTCATGGATAGTCAGGAAGGGAAAAAAAAAAGAGGTGAGTGTTCAACCACTTTGAGAAAAACAAAATGACTTTCCATCACATTCAAGTCACAAATTGCTCTCTAAGCTTTGGAGAAGAAAAAAAAACCAATTATATAAACTATATAAAAATGAGGTGATTTTATTGTCCCATGATCCACCCAGGCTTGTGATAGTTAACTGAATACAGGACTCTGTAGACCCATCCTGCTCCTCCCCCATCCTTCTCTTAGGGAGAACCTGCTCTCTCCAGGCATGCCCACACTGGAACGCCCTGGGCTGTTGTCCATATTTCATTCGCCTCAAAAGTTTAATAGCAACTCCATCACAAGAATATGAATCACACAATGAAGTTACAGATTCTCCAACTTTCTTAAGCAAGACGTGCTAAGCTCTCTGTTACACTTGGCCCACACACACTCTGGCAGAGAGTGCCCCCAAAGATCAGTGGAGCCAAAGAACAGCCCTCCCTTTCCCTTGTGGGGATAGAGGAACTCTTAAATTACTTCTATTCTTTGCTTTTTTTATTCTCAGGTGTTGTCTACCTGAAGCATAAATAATTTTTTAATCAATTTAATGAGAAAAAATTAATTCAATTGATTTTTAACTAAGTATAAAAAAACAATTGAGTAGATTTTTTACTTTACAACTGTATATGTTGATATCATGTTGACCAATACAAAATGGACAGTATACATCCTAAATAAAATAAAACATAGCCTCTAAGACCTTATGTGATTCAGCCACACCTTTCCTTGGCCTTGTCCCCTGACACTTCTTTTTATGGTCACTCTCTCCACCTTCTTTCTATTCTTCAAGTGAAAGGAGCTCCCTGTTAGAGTTCCTGCAATTTGCGACTCCCTCTGCCTAGAATGTTCTTTGCCCACCTAGATGCAGGATTTGCTTCAACCTGTCACTCATGACTCAGCAGATCTATCACCTCCTCAGAGATGCTTTCCCAGATGGTTCTTCTAAGTAACATCCTCCCTCAGTGACAACCGAGTCCCTTGCTCACGGAAGTTGTATTTTCTTCATATCACTTTCCACTCACTGAAAGTGTTTCGTTCATTTGTTTGATTGGTTGTTTTTGGTCATATAACTGTCCCCGTTAAGGGAAGGGACCCTGTCCACTTTACTCACCAACATATCTCCAGCGAACTGAACATTAGCTTACAATGCAATTGATAAGAAATATTTGCTGTATGAATGAATGAACAAAATGAATCAACATGTGAATGAATGAAAGTCGTAGTAAAGCCACTCATGCCACATACAGCCAGGGGTTAGGACAAGTCAACAGTTTTCTATAGCAGAGGAGGAAAACTGTAGAAACAAGGCCCCATCCTTGATGTTTATCCTTTAATTTTCAGCCAAACTCTAACCAGAGAAAAGGTGACTGTGAGCAAATTCTTTTTATTGTGCCAAAGATGATATTCCTGAATATTTGCCAACAAGTAGAAATCTCTAATATAGTACCTACATATTATGAACTCTCTTGCTTCACATTTAAAGGACCTTCTCCATAAATAAGTCAAAGCTATTTGTGTAGTTCACCAGGCATAAAATTTGGATGTATGAAGTTCACATTCTTTGGTTCTACCTAATCTTGATTAATTTCTGTAAATTTCCCATTTTTATTCTCTCTCTCTCTTTCTCTCTCTTTCCCAAATATAATGACTGTGTTTGAAAATGTCTCTTTACCTACAGTGGCTGCATATTTTTTTAATCTATGAAGGCAAAAATAATTACATTTTATTAAGTACTACATATAGAAATTCCAAAAAGCATGCCACCTTATTTATAGCTGATTATCATTTTTGTTGAAAATCAGTACCACTCAAATTGTCATATACATTTACATAATACATTTCACTACTTTATGAAGAGAAAATTTAAATATTTACCATTTATCTAAAATGTCTGCTCACATACATAAAAAATAATCATCTCAAAGTTAAATTTTCCCTTTAAAGTTAGAATTCAGACATTCAGGATTTATTGACCAACATTAAAACAGTAATAAGAATACTAACGTAAATGAAAGAGAAACAATGTCAGTCTTTTTAAATATCTTCACACTTAGACAAACTTGACAAATTGTCTTGGGAAAAATTAGGCAGTGCATAGATTTAAAGTTCATTATATCACGGGCAAAGAATTAAATAGTTTGATTACCTAGAATTTCTCCTACACAGAATGGATTTGCCCAGCTTTAACATTCTTCATGTCCCCACTTATAGATAATGCCATTACCTGCCTGAAAACTAATGTCCAGATAAAATGAGATAATTTTGGTGACTCAAATTGCTCTTCCAAAACCATTATTAAATTTTGGCAGAAAAAAGCCTAACTATACTGACTGGCCTTCTCCACCTATCCTCTAATGTACATGGCTGGAGTTTTGTTGCTTTACTTTTTCTATTGAAAAAAAAAAATGATACTGTGACCCTTCCCATCACCCTTGAGGGCCTATGTGCCAATTTTTCCTCAGAGGTCAACTAGCACACAGACATTTTAATACTGGGTCAGTGATTGTCATATTAGCCTAATGACATATCAAATGCAGCTTAGTTCTGGCGGGACTGAGACTTCCACCAATGTATCCAAGCCATTACAATGGCACGTCTTCTTTTACATAAGCTACACTGCAGTTTAGTTAGATTCCCCCAAAGGCCTGTGTATTAAAGGCTTGATCCCCAGGGTGATGCTATTGGTAGATGTTGGAAACTTTAAGGTAGATCCCAGCAGGAGGTCCTTAGGTCACTGGGAAATGTGCCCTCAAAAGGGATGGCTGGTCCTGTTACCTTCCTCTCACTCTCTCTGCTTCTCAGCCATGAAGTGAGCTGTTCTGCTCATGGACTGGAACCTCTGCCAAAAGAAACCTTTCCTCTTTATAAGTTATTTTCGGGACATTTGTTATAATGACTGACAGCAACCAACACAGACTAAAACAAGATCTCAGTTGATACATATTTGTCTTCAAATTTACATAAAGGAAGACACTAAAAAGGAAACCTGAGAACTCTTGATCTGGTCTAGGCTAGGGAGAGGTGTTTGGTTTTTTTTGGTTTTGTTTTGTTGTTGTTGTTTGTTTGTTTGTTTGTTGAGTTTTGTTTTAGTTTGGTTTGATTTGGGTTTTGGTTTTTTGGTGCTGGGACTCAAACCGAGGACTTGCGTATACTAAGCACATGCTTTACCACTGATTTATGTTCCAGCCCTTCTACTGATTTATTTTTAATGGATATACAACATGGTAAAAGTTATAAATTTTAACATTATCCATTGATGAATTTTTATGTACACTTATTACCTAGTAACCATCTAAATGGAGATATAGAACATTCTCACAAATCTTCAATGTTTCCTCAGGTATCTTTCAAGTTGATTCCCTCCCCTACCCAAAATAGAAACTGCTATTTTTTTGTTTTTTAATTGAGAAATAATTGTATTAAATTATGTATGCATATATGTATGTGCATATTTATTTATTTATAGGATACATTGTAGAAAGATTAAGTTACCTCATCTACTTATTTTTTGGCAATGAAGATGTTTAAAGTTTACTATTTTAGCAATTTGAAATAAAAAATATATTATGGTTAACTATGGTCATTATGCTACACAATAAATCACTAGAATTCATTCTTAGGTCTAATGGATACTTTGCAGCCTTTGGCCAACATCTCCTCTCTCCCTAGCCTCACTCCAACTCCTGGTAACTACCATCCAGTTCTCTGCTTCTGTGAGCTCAACTTTTTAGATTCTACATGTAAATAAAACCATGCAACATTTGTCTATCTATAAGCTAGGAAGAATCTTTAAGATATTAATTCCTATCATTGACTATCCTCTAACAAAAATAATAGAAAACTTCTGTGAAAGTAAAATACATGTTCATGGGTAATTTCAATTTTGATTAACTTGACAATGATGTCTTAATGGAAATAAATTAACAGAACGTATTTCAAGTAACTAAATTTTTGCCAATATAACTTTCTCTTTATTAATGTCAGGACTCAGAATTTCCTATAGGTTTACCTTGCTAAAGAAGGAAAGAACATTTAATTTTAAAAGGGCTGCACACTGCTATGCAATAAATAATACTATAGTGTGAAGTTTTTACTTTACTGTGCATATATATGTGTAAATATGTATATGTGTACATGCATATGTATTTTTAAGGGAGAACCCAGAATCCAAATTAAAAGATAAAGATATTCAAAACTTTTCATTACTATATGAACACTTGCTCTTGGGAATTTAGCCAGTCTCTTTTAATATAGTGTTCACAGAAGAGCAACTGACAGCTGTTCCTCCTCGAAATCAGTCCAACCTCATGAGCAGCCATCAGACACACCCACAAATTTAGACCACCATTCGCAGTGGTGTGGTGTTAAATGGCACACTGTACTGAGAGGCACAGATACCAGTGTGAGTCTCTGGGGATTTAGAAAGTAACTAATAACTTATTTGTTGTTGTTCTGCCTTGAATTCAAGCCAACAGATCAATAGGACAAGAACTTCTGCACACTGGCTATATTTTCCTGTGTTAGAGACTTCTCCTAGATATAGAAGAACATGTGTGTGTTTAGCTTCTTTATATATATTCAACTCAGCCTGATGACTGGCCACCTTATGAATATATATATATATATATATATATATATATATATATATATATATACACACACACACACACACACATATATATATATATATTTATATGTCTATGTTTAATATAAAAATCTATCCCTCCTTTCAGGTAAGCACTTTGCTAAGTCTTAGGGGTTTTTACTAAACTATCAGGATGGTTAGAATGGGAAGTTGTACATCATGTGACCTCTATATTTTCACTGAAGTTAAGAATTCAGCCATTCGACTCTACTGAGTCTTTGCTATTTTGAATTATTTACACAATAATGAACAACCTATTCAGGGCCTTTTGCTTACAGGGTTTATAAAAAATAATACTAAAAGAAAAGCATTATGCTTTCTCCCAACTATGTTTTCATTGTAAGGGTGTTGCCTCATATCTTTGAGATTGCTTTTGGTTGAAAATTGTCGATTAGAATGCAGCTGTTTGCCAAAAAGAAGATGGAAATATGTAAAACTCTCCAAAGAAGGAGACTCCCTACAGTGGGTGTTCATAAGGTGCCCAGTCGTCAGGCTGAGTTGACTATCAGTAATTAGTTGGACTGAATGACTCTTAAAATCCCATTCAACTATTCGTGAAATTCTGTAACTACTTTTTTAAACCGAGTAGGCAAAATTGAAGTAGACAGCATGGAATTCCAATTATTCCAATTGAAAGAAACAAAATATTAGCAACTCATCGCACATTCTGTCCTCTTTCTTTTCCTCATTTATACTCTTACACTGGTCACTTTTCCACCCATTAACTCATTTATTTAGATAACAAAATGTTTAGCACTGTGCTAAACCACAAAGAAATCTTCAAGTGAGCAGTTTGTCTGAGGAAAGGCCCATTTCCTGGTCTTCAAAATTTAGCTCTTTATGATAACCTAGGGGGAAAGTCTACATTTAGATTTATTTACTAAAGAATTTGTGAAGTAAGGGGTTTGCTCCATGAAGGGAGTTTCACTGCCATCCTTCAGAGAACAAGCTAACTAAATGTTTTGCTTTTAGTTTTGTTTTATTTTACTTTAATATCATTAAATATGACACACGTAAGTGCAAAAGACAAACATTTGCAACTTGGCATTATTTGAATTATCTATACACCCACCATATAGGTCAAAAACTACCATTTCCAAACAGTAAAGACAAAAGAGTGATGTATTTCCTGGATGGGACTAAAAGGGACAGGGTGAGATGTCATCATGCTCATTAGAACACTGCATAATTTATAACTCATGAATTAAGTTCCAGGCAAATTCTTATCAAGTCACTATGTACTTTCTTTTTGACCTAGTACTTTCCATTCCTAAATTTTCATCTAAGATTTTTTAAAAAAAGCACATTTCTACAAAAGGAACCGTACAAGAATATTCATAACAGTTTTGTTTATAATAATCAAAATTTAGACAGAATCCAAATGTCCATCAACAAGTAAATGAACAAGCAACTTGTGTTACATTAATACAATGGAATATTACTTAGCAATAGAAGTTATGAAATACTTAAACGCAAAATTATATGAATTATTATTTTTTTATTTTAAAAATTTTATTTATTTTCATATAACAAAACTAAAAAAACTTTAAAAATTAGGTATTATATATGACAGCAAAATGTATTTTGATTCATTATTCCAGCACAACTTTACATTTCTCTGGTTGTACAAGAGGTAGCGTCATGTCATATGTGCAGTCATAGAAGTACCTGGGGTAATGATGTCCATCTCACAGAATGCCTTTTTTTAAAAAATTTATTTTTATGTGGTGCTAAGGATCAAACACAGTGCCTTACATGTGCTAGGCAAGCACTCTGCCACTAAGCCACAACCCCAGCTCTGGCCTGGGCTTATTTTTGTGGCGGGAGGTAGACAGACACGGAATGCCTGAGGGACAGGCTCAGAATTGGTGTATTGTTACTTGGCCTTATTCTGTTGCTCAGACTCTTCAGACCTCTCCCTGTTGCCAGCCTAGACTATAGGGGGGAGGGAAACAGACCCCATCTCTTGAGGAGAAGAACTTCAAAATCATATGCAGAGGGGTGTGGATATAGGAAGTATGTGCGTTTTGCTATAACGGGACATGGTGAGTCCTTTTTGTCCATACTCTGGAGATAGGTTGGGATGGTCTCCTAGCCCACATCCTCTGGCTTCAGGTTTCATTTTTCCAAAGAGGGCTTTGATGTTTTTCAGATAATTGTCATTGGCTCTGAAGGTCTCAGTGAAGGGAGAGATCTGAAGAGTCTGGGTACATGAGCCACCTGCTCTGCTCAGTCTCCCAGGTTTGCTTTTCACTTCAGTGCAGTGGTCCAAGGACTACCCTTGTAGCAAATTATAATAGGGGTCAACTAGAGTCTGGTGGTTTGGAATCATCTGCTGTTTTAGCGCCAGTTGTTTAGCTTGTGAAACTAACTCTGCTTCCAGGTGATATCAATGACGCTGGCAAAATTATATGAATTAATCTCAAAAACATTATATGCATAAAAGAAGTCACATACAAAAGAGTACACATATTGATTCTATTTGTAGATTTCATTTCTATAACTAGTAACACTATTCTTTGTTAATCAAAATCCAACCAATTGTTTGAGTGGGGAACAAGGAAACTGTCTGGTAATGGAAATTCCACATCTTGATTTGGATGGTTACATTTATTGAAATTCAATGAATGGTATATCTAATAATCTGTGCATTCTATTATATGCAAATTTTAATTCAATATATCAAAATTTTTTAAAAAGGGGGCGTCATGGAAATAAGTTTGATTTTGATTTTTAAAATAAAAATCACAGTTTCAAACCCTCCTCCTCCCAGCCCTGCTTTCTGTCTCTATGGAGTTACCCACTTGGGACATTTCATATAAATGGAATCATAAGTGATGTTTTGCATCTGACTTCTTTCATTTGCCATAATGTTTTCAACTTTGCAGCCCATATTGGTACTCAACTCCATTTTATGGCTGAATGATATTCCATTGTAGATAAACTCATTTTAAATCATTTATGTCATAATTTGCTTACCTTTTCAACCCTAATGCACACTTGAACTCATCCCACCTTTCAGCTCTTGTGAATTGCTGCTGTGAACTTTCACGTGTGAGTGTCTGAGTCCCCGTTTTCCATTTTTTTGCATATGTACCTGGGAGTGGAATTGTAGAATCAAATGGTAAGTAACTCTGTCTAATGTTTCAAAAAGCCATGAGACTGTTGTCCACAGGAACTGAGCTACTTTATATTCCAACCAGCAATTGATAAAGGCTCCAATTTCTCTACATCATTGTCACCATTGTCTCTTTTCCATTTTTGTTGTTTTTATGTGTCTTAGTGAGTGTGATGTTTCATTGTGAATTTTCCATTGTTTTTACGTAAAACTTGAATACAAAGAAATCCATCGACTAATTTCTTTAACAAACAATTTTTGCTGATATCTTGGTAAAGGATTCCTCCAATCCCATGTCACATGCTGTTTTGTAACAGAAGCAACAACAAATAACAGTCAAACTATAGCACTGATTATCTCCCTTCCCTTCCCTTCATTCCCCTTTTGTCTAATACAATGAACTTCTGTTCCCCCAATGCTTATTGTGTGTTAGCATCCACATATCAGAGAGAACATTCAATCTTTGGTTTTTTGGGATTAGCTTATTTCACTTAGCATGATAGTCTCCAGTTACATCCATTTACCAGCAAATGCTATCATTTCATTCTTCGTTATGGCTGAGTAATATTCCATTGTGTATATATACCACATTTTCTTTATCTATTTATCTGTTGAAGGGAAAGGCACCTAGTTTGTTTCCATATCTTGGCTATTGTGATTTGGGCAGCTATAAACATCAATGTGACCATATCACTGTAGTATGCTAATTTTAAAAATATTTTTTAGTTGTCAATGGACCTTCATTTAATTTGTTTATATGCAGTGCTGAGAATCGAATCCAGTGCTTCACACATGCTAGACAGGTACTCCACCACTGAGCCACAACTCCAGCCCCTAGTATGCCAATTTTAAGTCCTTTGGGTATATGCCCAGGAGTGGGATAAGTGGTGGTTCCATTCCAAGTTTTCTGAGGAATCTCCATACTGCTTTCCAGAGTGGTTATACCAATTTGCAGTCCCATCAACAATGTATGAATATGCCTTTTTCATCACCAACGCATATTGTTACTTGTATTCTTGATGATTGCCATTCTAACTGGAGTGAGATTAAATCTCAGTATAGTTTTAATTTCCATATCTCTAATTGCTAGAGATATTGAACATTTTTTCTTATATTTGTTGACTGATCGAATTTCTTCTTCTGTGAGGTGTCTGTTCGGTTCCTTTGCCAATTTATTGATTGGGTGTTTTTTTTTCTTGTTTTATTTTGTTGTGGTGTTAAGTTTTTTTCAGTTCTTTAAACATTCTGGAGATTAATGCTGTACCTGAGGTGCAGGTGGTAAAGATTTTCTCCCATCCTGTAAGCTCTTTCTTCACATTCTTGATGGTTTCCCTTGCTGTGAAGAAGCTTTTTAGTTTGATACCATCCCATTTATTAATTCTTGATTTTACTTCTTGTGCTTTAGGAGTCTTGTTGAGGAATTCAATTCGTAAGCTGACATGATGCAGAGTTGGGCCCATTTTTTCTTCTAGTAGGCACAGGGTCTCTGGTCTAAAAGCATTAAGATCTTAACTGCTTTGTCCAAGGTCTATAATACTGAAATCAGGATTTGAATCCATACTGTCTGGCTCTGGAGTCATTTTTCTTCTTTGGTTGCCAGAATATACTCCAAAGTGCCTGAAGCCTGTAGGCTTTACAGATATAAGACTGGTTAATATAGCTCAATCATAATCCAGAAGTTCAAATTTAGGCACCAGGGCTATAATTTAAAATAGGAATGTGTGATTGGACTTTTCACTCTGTTTTTTAAAGATTGTTAAGTTTTGTCTGTCCTTGAATGTGCTTCTACACTCAGAAACGTGTCACACTGTTCGCCCCAGCTGGACCCATGAGAGAAGAACTGATACCCCAGTCTCCCAAGTAACTGCTGCTCCCTTGGAGACCAGTAGGGGGCACCATTCTACCCACTGTCCTGTAAGGGTGTGGCTTTGACTCTAAGCACATGACTCCCCTGTGGTCAGGGGCAAAATCTGACTAGGATGGTAAGAAGCCATCACCTCTAGTTTTCCTCTTCATACTGCTTCATAGCTGGAAGCAGCTACGGAATTTGTTAAAAAGAACCAACCTCTCCCCCTACCTCTGGAACCTGAAACTGGGACCCTAAATCAAACTGGTTCAGTGTCGACTACTGTGAAGAACCACCCTTCCATTGCCCTCATGGCATACTTTAGGGTCTTGCATAAAAAGAATATTCCTTTTAAGTGCCTCCCTAATGCTCAAAACGCAGCCATCCACCTTCAACTGGTAAAGAAAGGCCAGGTTTTTAAAAAGAAAATTAGTTAATAACAAAAATCACAAAGTCCAGCTAAAGACGTGGGCAAGAAAACACCACAAAATAACCAAAGAATGACTCAGATGGTTATTTAATGTCCTCGAATCCCCCAGAGGGTCCAGAGAGCCCTGCAACCTCTGCCCTCTTCATGCCTCTCATTCCAGCCTGGGATGACCAGTATCCAGGCTGTGTTCCTGGTGCGTGGCCATCCTATCTGACAAAAGACATCAGGCCAGCTGTTTAGGACAACCACTATCCCAAAAAGAAGGAAACTCACATCCCATGAAGAACTACTGTGTACTATGCATTACAGACCTAAGAGGCAGCAACTGGTGGCAGGAGGTCAACTTCACCTCTTGGCTTCAGGCAAGTTACTTAAGCGCCTGACCTCACTTTGCTCATCTGTACAATATAATCACCCATATCTCATGAAGCTTGTGGTGAAGACTGTCTTACATAACACTAGCCCAGGGCTTTGCACAGAATCTAGAAAAGCCTATTTACTCAGTATTAAGCTATTAAAGACATTACTGACATTATTATTTTTCCATTATCTCATATTCAAAAAAAAGCCCAGAATGGAACGAACTCCCTAAGCCCTGTCAGACCTAAATCAGCACTTCCCAGGTTAGTCCCAACAGATGCTTCAGGGTGTAAGTCACTCATTTTACCCGGAAGTGTCCCTGATACCAGGAAGCATCAGGGTTGACACCAAGATTCAACAAATTGCTCTTAACCTTATTTCTATGGTTACCAAAAAACACATCCTGGTGGTTCTTTCCAAAAAGGTTTGTGCAAACATGATTCAATCCTGAATGTAAACTTGTGCCACTCACTGGAATAAAAAGTACCATTTTAATTGGAGCCACAGGTCAGGGGATGGGTGGCCCTAAAATAACACCCCAACTCATTCCTGTAATAACTGACCCCCTTCTGCTGCACGGCTACCGAAAGCATGAAAATGTATCTTTAACATGTCTCATCAATGATGGGTCAGTTGAAAATTTTTGCCTATTTTAAGATCAAATTGGAATTGGCCTTTTATGGTCATTCCAAAGCAGACAGATAATATCTGCAATTTTTTGCTTCTTTGCATCTATGGAATTGCTACTTCCCGAGAGCAGGTGGCCTGAAGCAAACTGTGCCAGCTGTTTCCAGAATAATCCATGTTTGTACATTTACTCCCAACAGACACTCCCAAAAATCCATCAGGAACTAAACAAAAACAGGCACATGCAAAAAAAGAAAAAAAAAAAAAACACCAGGTCTGTGACGCATACAGCTGTGCCCACAGTCATCTGGATTTTTGTCTTCCTTTTCACTCATTAAATGGACAAATTTACCCCTTGTCTTATTTGGCCTTCTGAATGTTTTCTGAAGAATCCACGTGGTTATTCTGCCAGCTTGATGGAAACTCCCTCCTCCTGTCCTGGTGACATCTTGCTCCCCAGGTCCTCTTGGCATCTTGCCGGCTTTCCTTCTCTGTCTTGTCAGGGGCTCATCTTGGCCAGCGCACCCCACTTATATTGTGGGTGTTCCCTGAGATGCCCACTTCCACACTCTTCTCTCACTCCATGGTACAGACAACCACGTGGCACATAACGTACAACCAAGGGAAACTGAAACTAACTAGTGCATCCCAGAGCATTCGGAAAGTTAAATCTGCATTTACATGCCTCAAATAAAACAACCTAAGGTAAAGCCTCCAGGACATACCCTGTTTGCAAGAAGGCAAGGAAATGGGCATGTCAGACACAGCCAGTGGGAAGGTTCATGAGTTTCCCGAAAGCAATCTAACAATGATGATAAGTCTCCAAAATGTTCATATTTTGATGCAATAATTCTATTTCTACATAAGAATTAGGAATATATAGTAATAATCATTACAAATTTTGCTCAATTAAAGATACAATTGAAGTAGCTAAAAGTGAAAAGGATTCTAAACAGTTCAATTAACTATGGTATTCATACATTTAAAAATCTTCAAGATATGTTCTTACAGGAAAAAGTTGAAAATAAATAGCATATAAAGTCCAACCTCAATTCTTAATATAGGTATTTATGTTTCAATAGACATATAGAGAGAGAAAAAATAAGAGGGGGGAATGGGGAAAAGTCACACTTGGTGTTAACAGGGTTATTTCTTAGTTAAGAAATATGGATAAATCAGGTGCTGTGGCGCATGCCTCTAATCCCAGTGGCTGCGGAGACTGAGGCAAGAGGATTGCGAGTTCAAAGCCAGCCTCAGAAAAAGTGAGGAGCTAAGCAACACAGTGAGACCCTGTCTCTAAATAAAATACAAAATAGGGCTGGGGATGTGGCTCAGTGGTTGAGTGCCCCTGAGTTCAAACCCCAGTAACCCCACCCCCAAAGAAAAGAAATATGGGCAAGTTGTATTGATTCTTTGGGGTTTTTTTAATATTTTCATATTTCATTGAGACAGCACTAATTATTTTTGTAACGAGGAGAAATAAACTTCAAGAGGAGAGAGGCCTTATTAATAAAGATGGTACAATGACATCCTCCTAGAATACTGACTCGCAACTCCTAGAAGATTCAGGCACAGGGACTATTTGAAAGAGTGCATGTTTCAGATGGAGACGAATTTGTTTAAACAGACTTTAAATCACGTTTGAAGCCACGCTGGGGACAAATACCCACGTGTCAATGACTCACTTATCATAATTGTACATAGGTCAGAGACAAACACCTGGCTGACTCCTGAATTTGTTGAGAGATAACAGCTTTCTCAAATGCTGCAAGATCTGGAGAGCCAAGGTGGAAACATTGCTTTTGGAATTCAAGTAGCATGGTTTACCTTGAATGAACCCTTGACTGATGGGCTGGCCAGAGTTATGGCAAGGGCTCCACATCCTGGAAACTTGGGGTTTTTTAATCTGTGAAATAAGGGTAAATTTGACTTCACACAACGAGGACTATAGCCGATTCTTTTCACAGATTTTATATTTGTGAATTTGCCTACTTGCTAAAATGTATTTGTAACTCCCAAATCAATACTCCCTGTACTTTTTAGGATCATTTGTAAGTATGCATGTATCAGGGAAGATTTTGAGGCCCCCACCTACATACCCCTGAGATTGAATAAGGTTTTTTAAATATTTTCAAATTTTATAAAAACAGCATGGATTGCTCTGACTCGCTTCAGCTCTCATTTTGTAAATAAGTGTTCATATGAATTGCTTAGTGCCACATGTTTTCACATTTTTGTATTCTCTGTTGGTGTTTTCTGTGTAAATGGCCCCCAGGCTGGTGCTAAAGCACTGTCTTGTGTCCCTGAATGCAAGAAGGCTGTGATGTACCTTATGGAAAGCACGTACATCAGTTAATCTCCATTTGGGCATGAGGTATAGCACTGTTGGCCATGAGTTCCACAGAAGTCAATCAATAACACCTGTTAAACAAGGTATCCTGAAAGAGAAACACACAAACAGCAAGGGTTATCTATTAATCAAATGATAAAAATATTGTGACCAGAGGCTCACAGGAAACCAATCCTGTATTTCCTGTAGGAGCAATGTTCACTATTGAATAATTTACTGTTCTTGGCAACTAAGACATAACTACATGAATAATGAGAAGTAATTATATATATATAACTTATGCATGCTTCCACAAACGTCACATTAAATGCCAACATGCATTAAATGTAATCCTGTACCTCAAATCAAGCTAAATGTGTAATAAATGCCTATTGAATAAACTGAATGTTGCCTGAAGTTGAAATAGGGTGTGTCATAATATACCTGTTTTTAACCCAATATTAAGTTGCATTTTCTGAAAAGCCCAAAGCATGATGACCATACAGGTCTCCTATGCCAGCACTACGTTTGCTTACAGTAGCTGTTATAACCCCTATTTCTTTCAGAACAAACTGCTCTTCAACAATCAAACATTCATATAATGGAAAATATCTAAAACAGCTTCAAAGTATGTTTTGGATGAAAAGTACTTATTCTCTTTAAAAAGAGTTTTCCATCTTTTAAAAAAGAAAAAGACATTTAACTTCTTTCCATAGTCCATCATCCTCCTGCAAGGGGGACACAATTACAACTGAATTCATTAGTGGAGATACATCGATTCTACAATATTCAACACCAGAATTTCTAAAAAAGAAGCCAAGAAAGAAATTGTTGAAAAACGTAGGGATACACCATAACCTCAAGTAACTATGAGAAAACACCAGACAAATTCAAATTGAGGAACATTCTACAAAATACCAATACTCTTGAAAAAGTTTCAAGGTCACACAAGACAAGGAAAGAAAAGGGAACCGTCACAGATTTGAAAAGATGAAGGAAAAATGAACCAAATGCAATGTGAAAATCTGGTTTGAATCCTAAAGCACAAAAAGAATATTGGTGTTGAACTGAAGAAACTCAAACTAGATATTTTTCATCTTGCTGATTGCGTCTTGGTTACAACCAATGTTAGCATTGCCAGATGCTGGAAGGAGACTTCAGGGGAATTCTTTGTACTATATGTACAATTCTTCCCTAAAGTCTAAAATTAAATTTTAACAAAAAAGTTTTGGAAAAGAGATCAAGAGAGAGTAGAAAGTAGTAAGAGAGAAGGCAGGACTCATTCTATAGGCAAAATATAAATATTGAAGTGGGTGAACAACAGCTACTTTGCATGGCTGGACTAATTCCTTGCAGCACACAGAGGCTCATCATTTTCTGAAAGAACTGACAGGAAATAGTTCTTTAACAGGACCATATGGGTGGCCACTCTCCCCAAAGACTTTAAATTCCTGCCTCCTGGAAGATTTCTCAGAACACCTTGAGCGCTGGCCACATTCTCTCTTCCACCAGTCAAGGTCAAATTATCTATATAAAGGAATGATCCAGAGGGTCCATTTGAAAAACTAATTTACCTGAAAACAGACTAAGGTACTATTTGTGGCCTGATAGTGTTTTCTTTGGGCATGAACTCTATGTCTGAGGAACAAGATCTTCAAATGCCCTTCTGGGAAAACAGGTCCTAAACTCCCAATATTCAGTCATTATATAGACTTAATAATTCTAATTTATTGTCATTGCAGGCTATAATTTCTCCCCAAGTTCTTCTGAAGGGACTTTGCTACTTAAAATCTTATTTTTGTATGATTACTAGAAATCACAATGGGCATGATCTGAACAGAGGACAGGGAGCTACTTATTTCCTTCCTGAAAAGCTGGAATTTGCTAACCTGAAATATTGAGAACAAATTTAAATAAATTGGGAATAAATTTCTTTTTCCATAAATTCCTTGAGCCATCCCTTCCTGAGCCCTTATGGATAACTGACTGTCCACTGTGCATCTTGATGAATTTGGAACAATTCGTATGTATCTATATCTGTCCAGGACATATGAGGACTCCTTGCTATATACTAAGGTTAGTCTATCAGATTGATGTAAGAATCCAAAGTACTAGCCTCAGAATATTACTGACTCATACTTTCTAAGCCCATAAAAATTCCAGAGCCCAAAATTTATGTTCTACTTTAAAAACATGTCCTAATCCTGAGACAGACAGAGGCCTAAATGACCCAAGAGAGATGGCAATGATGGTGATATATTACAGAGGCTAGTGCCACGGTAATAGTAAGAAAGAAATACTAACATTTACTGAGATATTATTGTGTTCCAGGCACTGCATTAAGCACTGGTGTGTATTAACTCTTATAATCCATTCTATAACCTTCTGCAGTGAATATGACCATTGTCCATCATTTCAATGATGAAGGAACTAACACTTTGTGAAGTTGTATAACTTTCTAGACATCACAGGGCTAAAAAAAATGTAAAAAAAAAAAAATTCACTGACCCAGAGCCTATACACTTAACAATACATTGCACTAGAAACTATATAATTTGATAAACTACAGGGTTCTCTGTCACCCCAATTCCCTCACCAATATGGCGGCACATCTATGAAGTGGTTTCAGGCAGAATGAAGTCCCCCAAAATCATTCTGGTTCTCTTTCACTCCCTTCCTGTCTTCCTCAGGACATTGTTTGTTCTGACCTTCAGCCCCTGCAGACTCTTGAGACCTAGCCCAGGCTGAACTGTCCCTCGTGAAGTAGTCCTCACAGTCCTAGATGCTTGGGTTCACCCAGGACCTTCTTGTTCAGCGTTCAAATGTGACTGACCTCTCCCTGGTCTTCCTAGTAAGCTCTGACATCAGCCGGCCTGACCAACAGAAATTATCTCTTTCCTACCCAGTTATCCAAAGAGGGGTCATCAGTGCTTTTGAATGACTGACATGGATGCTGGAGAGACAGGGTCTGTTCCTTTTGTTCTTGAACACCAAGCTGAAAGGATGCTTATGGCCACCTAGGGAATGTTGCCGTGGAAAGAATCTAAGAATCAAACCAAGGAATAACAAGCAGCACTGAGAAACAGAGGCAGAGACCAAGAGCTGACGAGATTGTCTGAAGCCCTGGATCCAGCTACTTCTGAAACTAGACCTGCCACTTGAAGTTCCCAGTTAAGGAAATCAAAATATTCCTTTGTCTAATTGGTTTATATGGGATTCTTGATCATTTACAGTTCTAACCAATACATTGGACATTACAATGTCCTTGATAGCCAGTATTTCCTTCTTACTTTTTAAAATCTAATTTTTGAGCTTTGTAATGTTTTGAACAACTAATAATAAAAAAATCAAAAATAAAAAATAAAAATAAAGAAGATGACAAAAAAAATTTTAAAAAATAAAATAAATAAAATCTAATTTAAATAATTTCAATGTTGAATAAGTTGGAAGAGTATAAATTAGTACTGTTCTCTTAAAAAAGTGTGTGTGTGTGTGCACGTGCATGTTTGTGCTGTATACAACCCATTGCTTTTCATATGGAAGTAGTAGGAGATATAGAAGATATATAAAAATTAAGAGTATGTTGGGTAAATTAAAATAATGACCTAAAAGGCCTAGATAGTGTTAGCCACAGACATATCTACTAATATGACAAATAAACCCCAGCTCAGTTAAATGAGATGCATATCAAAAAAACACATTTAATTTCCAAAACTCTGTGTATACGTTATTTGCAAATTTGTGTCTCCCATTTTGACCTCTCTTCTGAACCCCAGACTTCTTTATCCATCTGCCCATTGAACATCTCCTTTCTGTAAACAGGCTTCAGATATCCAAAAGAGAACTCTAGATTCCTTCAAACCCCAGAACTGTTCAGAGTTTTCTTTTTCAATAATAGTCTTTGATTTACCCAATTTCTGAGAGGCAGAACTTGAATTACTTTCTAAGTTGCTCTCTGTGTATTCTTTGTTCTTTTATCTCATTTCTAGTTGGTCAGCAAATCTTGTTGGTTCTGCTACAGAATGTATCCTGAACCCAGCTATTTCTCTTTGCTTCTGCTGCTACAACCTGATCCAGGCCCACAACACCTCTCAGCTGGGTCACTACAATGGCCTCTTAACTGGGATTCCTGCTGCGACTCACAGCCCCTTACAGCCAATTGTTCATACAATAGCCAGAAATACATCATTTTAAATATAAATCTGATCTGTCACGCCTCTGCTCAGAAGTCTCCATGGCTTCCCATCACACTCAGAATAAAGGTCAAAGTTCTTACCAGCTTGAGCTGGCCTCTCACCAACCCTGCGGCCATCTTTTGTTACTGCCTCCCTCCCTTTCTCTGCTTCAACTGCACCAACCTCTCTCTGCTTTTCCAACAGGCAGGCACTCTCTCAGGGCATGTGAGCATGTTCTCCCGAAGGTTCATGTGCTGTAATCCTGGTCCCATATATAATGATATTGAGAATTGGTGGCCCATGAAGATGTAGAGTGTGAAGGAAGGCCATCAGCTCATGGAAGCACCCGCCTTGGAAGGGGTTAGTGTAGTTCTTACAAGACTGGGTGGGTTATTCTAAGAGTGGGTTGTTACAAAGCAAGTCTAGCCCATGAACTTCTTGAGTGTGGTATCTCTAGCCTCTTGACTAATGCCAGAGATAAAGTAAGTGCATGCTAAGTCTCTGTTGATTGATGAATGAAGAAATCAACATATAAGGCAGGAAGGAAGTTAATAAATCACACATATATGTATATATGTATGGTGGGGATATATTCTAATCAAAAAGAAAACTATTTCATTCCCAAGGGGGAAAAATGGGCACACCCAATGCCCCGATTTTGCTTTTAAATATCATTTTCCAATAAAAGCAACTAGAGATTCATGGATAAATGAGAGGTTTTAGACCTGGGATCCCCAAAATTATAAGATGAGCCTGGATAATCTTGTAAGATCAGAAAGTCAGGAAATACTAAAAAAAGGGGGGGGGGATTCAAAGAGAATCAAGAAACATGTGCCAAGCTACAAGAGTTCCCAGTGACCAAGCTAGAAGAATCTGGCCAACTAAACTATTGGCATTATGTTAGATGAGAATCCAAAGTCCAAAATAAGAATGC